CCGACTTTGCTGCTATTTATCCGTATTGATTTTGACAACAGTTGTAGCATTAATATTGGATAAAATTCAAACAGTAATCATCATGCATGATTCTTCTGGATAGTTGAATGCCTTTTTGATTTGAATAACTCATTATTAATAGAATTTTAAAGCTATTATACATATCAAATTGCTTTTAATAATTAATAACCAATCAACTAATTATTAATATGTACAAATCAAGCAAAACAATAACGATACTTACTTTAAAATATACAACCTGTTTCCTGGAAGTCCGAAAGAAGCACAATCATTTTGTTCTAGGAACAAACTTAGTCAGCTTCGAATAATTTTATTTTCAATAATATATGATCTTATCTTTTAGTGTTTTGGATTATCAGATTTCGGATTACAGTTCAACTACTTTTTCGCGCATACATACGAATTGAATGCTTCTTTTCGGAATTTTATTGGGTTGTAAAAGCATTGAACGAATTAAACAGTTTGTATGAAGCAGGGAAAAAGGCATGCCGCGTTGCAACAAATAAAAAAGTCAATATGAATGTAACATAAAATCCTGTCATTTCTGAGGACCTTTTTAATCATTGAGATAGATGGTATATATAGGACAGACAGTCCACAATGCATTGCACCTACATCGTGTTCATTACATACGTTTGGTGTTGATTCATTTGACCATAACAATTGGTTCTCAATTTACCTGGTGGTACGCTTGAGCCCAAGTTTTTTGGAAAACAGACAAATTATAGCTTACGGTTCGGTGTGAGCCAATGCTCCGTGTTGAAGACCGTACTGTGACCTATAGTGGTTTACTTTTATAAATTTTTACTTGGATGGAGAGTTGTCTCATTGGCACTCATACCACATCTTCTTATATCTAAATAAACCCTTTTAGACTTGAAAATTGAAAGCCTGTAAGGAATAGTCAAAATCGTCTGAAATCAGATTTTCAAAAGACCAGAATATAATTCCTGACTAAGATCTCTTTTTTCCTGATCTTTATTGCTGATTTTGTTTTCTGGTTTCAGTTTCTCCCTATCTACTTTAATGTTTGCCTTAAATACAAACATAGGTAAAAAATTTCAGTCAAGGGCAAACACTTCTATATAAAGAGTGGACTGACAATTTCGGCCTCGTTGTTTTTAGATCTTGTTTTGCTTATTACTTTTGTTATTTACAGCTTCTCTTTATATTCTGTCGATTTTTCCTAACCCATAAAAGGATTAATAGCCTCAATTAAGGACAGTAACTCCGTTATAAAGTCGACTGGCAATACCAAATTGTAGAAATTGTCTTGCAGATCATTTTTGTCTTTCTATTTGAATATTGCAGTTTTTGCATAATATGCCAAAAATGGGTAAAAATCATCTATGAAGGCCAATAACATCTCTAAAGAAACGACTGACAATTTCGGCAATGAAGATATATTTGAAGATCTTGCAGATCATTTTTTATCTTTCATAGTGTTCATTGTAATTAGCAAAATAAAAAAAAAATGGCAAAATCGGCATTCAGGGTCAATAAATCATAAAAGGAGTCTACCGATTATTTCGACAATTTTGACTTATTTGTAGATTCTGCCTTGCTATTTTTCTAATTCAAAGTTTCTCTTTGTATATCATAGTTTTCAAGTTAATAGGCAAATATAAAAATTGGTAAAAACAAACATCATTAAAGGGCAAAAACTCCTTTAAGGAGACATCTAACAGTTTAAATGGACAATTTGTATTTTCAACATTATGAACAATTCTAACCCCTATGTTATATCTAAAGCCATGTCGACCATGTTGGTTGGCAGGCGGGATAATTTTATACAAGTTTTAAACTAGATTCCACAAAATTTGGTTCCAATAGTTTCACAGGAAAAGCTTTTTGTAAAAGTTAACGGGCGACGCATGACGACTATGAGAAAAGCTTAAAATACAACACAATAAAAACAAGAAAGAAATCAATGATAATGTTATTCCTTCATTTTGTTCCATCACATATATATTTTTTCAACTTTTTTCTTTCAGAGCCAACGAATGGCGTCAGAAAGGGAGATAATTGACCTGAGGGAAATTGTAGAAGACCGGGCATGGAATTTCTATACCAAATGTCGCAAAAAATGGCAACCAAAGAAACGAAAAAATGTAAGCCTCATTTTTGACTGGTCTGAGGTTAGTTTTGATGTAAAAGAGCCAAAGTACACCGAGAAATTGGGCTCGGAAAAGTTAGTTTCAAATGTAATTTTTAAATCGGTATTTGAAAACAAAAGTAAAACTGAGCAGTCGCATTCTCTGAAAGCTGAAAGGCAAACGGTGGCTTCATGCAAGGCATCGCTGACAAAATGCTACACTACAAGTGCAAACATGGCCCTAACACTCTCAGCTCCAAAAAGTGTGGCCACGGCGTCCGTAGGATATTCTGCCGGATACACGGTGACATACAATAAGGAAACCACAGACCAAAAGACTTTAACCTGGGCTACCGAAGGTAACCTGACTATTGCCCCGGAATCAAAACTAACAGCCGAACTAGAAATCATTGAGAAACAATGTGAATATACATTCACAACTAAAGTTGCTGTTACTGGAACTGTGATTGTAAACATTTTCAGTCGGAAAAACAAAAACAAATTCTTAAAAGTGTACACTGGAGATATGAAAGCTATATTATCTGATAAAATTAAAGACATTGAAAGTGATGGGAGAACTGTTTATCTTGATATTAAAGGAGAATGTGACTTCAAATATGGAATAGAACAGCAAATTGTGATTAGTTGAGATATTATGTATCAATTTAGCTCCTGTGCTGCTCACCCGCTTACACTTAAGGATAACATGTCATTGATCAAGAGTGTGTATAGCCGTTTGATTCGATAAGAACACAAGTCAATAGAAATCAGAAATTTGTAGCAAAACACGAATATAAAAGGGACCTTTTGGCTATTGTGAACCATATACATACATTCATATAAAGTAGTGTTTTTGATACATTTTTTAGCACACAATACAATGGTCAATTTAGGATACTAAAGGTACCAAAAGTTTATTCAAAGCGCTTTCGTTGTGTTTATTATGTGCAAAATGGAAAATAAACTGACTTCATATTAAATATTTAAATGTTAATCTTAAGTTTATTGTTCAAAATAGATTACATATTATGTGAGTAACTAGACAAAACTTGTAGTGGAACCGGTACTTGAAAAGTCTGGATTAACCATAAATGAAGCCCAATAATGGGGGCCCAGACACCCCCCCCCCCCCCCCCTAAATCCGCCTCTGGGTATTCGTATAAGAAACAGCCATTGTGTTCAGCCATTTTTGAAAATCTGTATCAAGTGTACTATTGTTTTACAACCTCCCTCACACCATCAAAGGCTGTGTATATACCAAGCTGGTGATACCACAGTACAACTCTTAATATGGTGAAACTTTACTTTGGTACGAAACTTATCTGAACTTTTTCTTTTGATGCAATGCAATGGAACAATAAAAAATGTGAGTCAGAGACGGACAGCCCACGCCCTTGTCATCACCAAATTGAACGAAATAGCAAACAATAATCTTCATTACTCAAAAAAACTAAACACCAAATCCTACAAAAAAACTTGAGGGGAGGTGAACTCATGTGCTTTAGAAAGTTTAACTTTTCATTGTGAGACTCTCTACATATAATGGATCGGCTTACAACTTTTGCGGATAAGCTGTCAGATTGACTGTAATAAACATGGAATATTTATTATTCCAACCAAGGGTCCTTGATGGGCAGCATGACACGAATAAAGGGAGATGTCAGGTATATACCAGTAAAACAGCAACACAACGAACAAATAACATAAAGATCTCCGGAGGGCAACATATGTAGACGTCAGCAGAAAACAGGTGTCTTTTCAGTACTATACCCTTCTAATATAAAAAAATAAGAAGATGTGGAACATATTTTTGTAAGTTGTGAATGAATTAAACATAGACTATCAAACATCTGCCATCAACACTAAATTCTTCAAATTGTGAAAACAAAACAAACCAGACATATAACAACCACTGACGAGGTTCCTGGCTTAAAACAGGCAGGTGCACTTGAATATAATGGCGGAGACTAGGTTTTTTTATGGATCTCAACCCTAGTCCTCCCTTTTTAATCTCGATCATTGGATTAAAGTATGATTTAATAGAGATTCTCACTCCAGCACATGTATTTGAATATGTATTGATTCATATTCAAAATTTCAGTCTTATTTCATACTTCTTCCCCGAGAGTCCTGACTTATGGTGTGTTTCAACACATTTATTTCAAATGTGTACACTGAATACGAGATTATAAGACTTGTAGGTTTATTTGTATTCTAAATGTGTGGTCGTGACTTGTTTTTTTTTTATATTTTATCTACATAAATTTAGGAACCCTAATTTATTTTAGGGTTTTACACCCCGAAAATGTGCGCCTAAACGTAAATGAGACAAAAACCACAAAGCAAAACAAAGAAGATATCTAGAGGTCTGCATCAGCAATAGCGTGTATGTACTTTGCAAAGTCTAAATAGTCTCGAACATATCAAAGTTTGTTTAAATTCAACAGAGAATACCAAAGAAAAAACAAAATCCCATCATTACAAAATACCTTAATTAATCATTGAAATAAAACGAGAAAAAAAGCAAAGTAAACTGTCACAATGACAACCCAAAGATGTTCTCGACTTGGGACTGAGGGCACATTAAAATGTGACGAGACTAGTTTATTTTTTTCTGTGCTGGCTCATTTTGGAGATTGGAAATTGGTATTTATTTTATATTTATATATCAAGTTAGTTTAAGTATTTATTTGATCCTTCTGAATTGATATTTTATTCATTTCAATTTATCTAAATTTTGTTGTTGTTTTTCCTTTATATCAATATCAAGTTTCGTCAGCCTTAAAGGTATGTGGAAGCTGTTGTGGTTTATGCAAACGTGTTATATCTCTTGGGTCATCCATGATAGCGGAATAATGGTATGTACTCGAATACTGACTCCGTTTTTTTTATATGAAATTGCGGACTCAAAAAGACAAGAAACGAACTCTTCCGAAACGACAATGTGAGCGATGGCAGGAAAGGAAGAATATACAATTCCTGATGGTTAGACTTGTTTGGATTGCGTTTTCACATATTTTCCTCTTCTCCTTCATTTTACAACTTTCAAAGTATATACAATATCAGTATTTGATAATGATGAAGACGAACTCAACAAAATAAAAGAAAAAGGGGGAGGGTTAATAGTGATTTATCTGCATGTACGGCCAATACAGATATGACATATGATACCCACTCAAAATTATGCTATCGCAAATACATGCACACACATTTGTGTTATTGAGCATTTAGTTCAGTACTATTATTATCATGAGCTTTTCTTGCATCCACACTGGTGTTTTGGGGTCAGGACCTCTCAGACTCTATGTCATTGTTACTGAATGAATCATTGTATGTCATCCAAAGCAAAAGTTCACTGTATTTTTTAAGTATGAGACAGCTCCAAGCATGCACTTTAACATGTTAAGGTTCATCAAAAGGAATTGAAAAATATGGCCGTGTTTACACCATAAAATCTACTATGAGTACGAATCCGGGTCCGTTCGCCCAAAAACATGTTTGCGCCCATTCACGTTCGCCCCCTTTCACTTTCGCACCCTACACATTCGCACCCTACACGTTCGCACCCTTTTTATTGGTTTTGTGTTTAATAATTTTGTAATTGAGTTTTGGTAAGTGTATTGCTGTAAATATTTTTTTTTTCATTGTTTCAAAATAAAGTGAGATTCTGACAACATTTTTTTGTGTTGAATAAATGTTTATCATGTTTTGGTTAATGTATTGCTACAAAAAAAATTTCATTGTTTCTAAATAAAGTGAGATTCTGACAACGTTTGTTTTTTGTGTTGAATAAATCTTAATCATCTTTTGGTTAGTATATTGCTATAAATTTATGTTTCCATTGTTTTAAAATAAAGTGAGATTCTTACGTTTTTTTTTGTGCTGAATAAATCTTTTAAATTATGTTTTGTTTAGTGTTGTGATATAAATTTTTTTTTTCATTATTTCAAAATAAAGTGAGATCAAAGGGGCCAAGCTGTTAAAATCAATTATCTTTCGTGTTTTTCTTTTAAAATCGTAAATGTTTTCTCATACCAAGCTAAATATATGCAGTATTTACATCAAAGCAAGTTAAAATAACAATCATGATTTTCAAACACACAACAATAATACCAAATTTAGCTGTGTATAAATACCAATTAGCAGTAATCATACATTTGTACATAATTAACATTTAATAATTAATCATCAAATTGATAAAAAAAAACATTCATATAATAATTCCTCAATTTTTATTCAGGAAAATATTTTTTTTGGTATATACATATCAATAATCATGATAATGCATATAAAAAAATATCAAATAATTAAACTTGAATTGGAATAAAAATTGGGTGCGAACGTGTAGGGTGCGAACGGACCTAGGGGGCGAACGTGAAGGGTGCGAAAGTGTATTGGGCGCGAATGGACCTGATACCTATGAGTACAGATAAACTGATGCATCTAGTTTATTTTGGCACCTTCTGCAGGAGTGAAAAAAAAATGGATAGCAAAATCCAGATAAGTTTATAATTTTCTGAAACATAAAATACATGTACATTTAAAATTTAAATATCTAGTTCCTGCCATGCCTTAAAACTTTTCCAGGTGCACAGGTTTGTCTGTACTTAGACATGTGTCAGAGTAAAATTTGTTGTGTAAATACGGCCATATTAGCCAAAAGGTTATGATGTCCCTTATACATGATCCTTCAACAACTGCATGTATCAATCAACCACGTTTTTTTATACTTTTATCATTTATACACCAATCTAGAGTTGACTTTTATGAATGTGTTACTGTAACACTGGTTGACCCGAGGTCTATCAGCATAAATGATTTCATGAACAATCAGTTCTTAATGGTGACGTTATAACTATTGTTGTTAAATTGAACAGTTTTGTCTAAGCAGTTATTATCATATACCATTTTTTTCGACCTATTAACATGATTAAGCAGTTAACCGGTAGTTGAGTTGATGTTTTAAAGGTCTTCCACACTCTTCAAATACATTTGTACAAGGTTTTATGATAAGATGATTTGAAGTTTATAGTTTGGCATTATAAGGCTTGGCTTTGAGCAGTCCTGGTAAAGTTTTATTTTCAATAATCCAATACTACCATGTCTACTAAATTGAAAATCTTCCTGCTGCCGTGAATTGACAAAGTCTGAAACCAGTGATTTTGTCATTTTCTCTTGTGTCTCAAAAATTTCTGTGGAGTATTTCAATTTGAGATGATTATGCCATGTATGCGTGTTACTCGTACCACATAGTATTATACATTAAAGTAATTCCATTCACAAAATTTGTGTTTTAACATTTATGAGTGGCCATTTCGTAGAAAGAGGTAGGTCTTTTCACCACCGAACACCACCGAACACCCCAATTTTTTTTTTTAACTCTTATTGTTATAAACGTGACCTAAATATAATATTTAAGTTATTAATTCAACAAATAATAAGGTTAAGAGAACAAATATCTACATCGAACAGAAAAGGAGAGTCTATAACACTACAACTCTGCAAACCACCACTGGACACCTCGAATAATTTTTTTTCTGCATTTTTTTTCTTCTTTTATTAAATAGTTGTACCAATAACAAGAAAAGAGACATGAACAAATGTTAAATATTTCGGGTAACTAGTATCCATCAGTAATTGATGTCAAATGATTCTTATACACACACAATGCAATCCGGAAAAATAGTGATGAATCCGGAGACGTTTTTTGCTTTATATGGATTATATTGATAATCGACTTTAACAGAAAAATGATGCATATAAACATCTAAAAAATTGTTAAATTAGACGGAATTTAATTGATTTTACCATTTTATTGTATCAAATCACTGATTTTCTCAGTGGTTGATGGTTTTTTTGGGTGTTTGGTGGTGTTTGGTGGTGTTCGGTGGTGAAAAGACCCACCCCGTTTAAAGTATAAGTATGACAAAGCCTGAGACTGTTGAGGTGGCATATTTACATGTAATTCTCACTACTTCTAGTCCACTCAGTATTAAATAAAGTGAAGTAATGAACTAAATTGTAAAATTTAATCAGCTTACAACTGTCATGACTGTTCAAAATACATGAACGCTAATTATGTTTACTTTAGATTTTGCCCCTAGCTGATAGACAAGTTGTCTTTGTGTAAATTAATTTTGTAAAATTAGTATTAGATACTATACAAAGGTAACAAAGAAACAGGCCGGTAACAACCGTTGCCGGATAGTTTTTCTGCACAAGTAGTCAGGTCAAGGTCCGAGGCGATAGCCGAGGACCTTGACCTGACTACAAGTGCAGAAAAACTATACGGCAGGTTGTTTCCGACCTGTTTTTTGTTACTTTTGTTTTGTATCTGACTTGTACGACGTTTCAAGAAAGTAATAATACATTTTGCAAGACTAAACATTTGAGAAACTTAGATAGCCATAAAGCAGTAAATGTAAGTTATAGTATAAACACATTTTTTTTTCATTTCCCTTCAACCGAGAGTTTTTTTCAAGAAAAAAATCAAGAATCTAATAATTTGATAAAAAAGAACCATTTCAAGTAAAAGATGAATGTTGTACACATTTAAGACTTTTTAAAATGCAACTTCGTAAAAAAGTAATATATTAAAGAAATATTTTAGTGGTAAGTAAGCTAACGTTTGATTTTTATGGATGAAACGGAAAGCAGTGACATATAGTTGGAACCCCCCCCCTCCTGTTTTTTCCTGGATTGGGAACCCCCTTTTTTAAAATGGCTGGATCCGCAACTGATATATATGTATATATATATACAATAACAATATAAATGTATCAAAAGAATGAATTTCCTACTTCATTAGTGAATGAAATGTTATGAAAAAATGGATTTTGTCTTAATATTATATATATTCAGGCATATACTTTGATTTTTTTTTAAATTCATGCTCGTCTCTAGATCTGCAAGTGTTGATCGGGATTAAACACGTGTTACTATATGATCCAATCGCAGCTAACCGTCCAAAATTGATGACATAAGTTGAATGATTTTCTTCTAGATTTGCTGCTTATTTGGACGTGTATTACACGAACACTTTTTATTTATAGGATCAATCGTGCATTGGTGAGTTGATAGGGATTTTATCTTTTGATAAGATTTGATTTTTATTTACTTATTTCCTGTCTTTTTTTATTGAAATATAAACGTCGGTATCATCATTTCTTTACTTTCAGCATTGTCCAAAATACTATTCATGTCCATATATTGAAGAAAACATTTCTTGACCGATTATTTTGCTTCATAAATGGGGCGGTATGTTCTTTTCTGAGTATATTAACTATTTACTTTTAAACGCCATCACCCAAATATTTTTGTTTAAATTAGCACTATACGGTATTCGGAAAATCAGGAATCATGCAGAACATTAATTTGTCATCTGCTTGACCATAGTAAATTTTTTCTCATAAAATTTGGGATCAAAATATCCTTTTTTAGGAGAAAACCATACCCCCCCCCCCTTTTTGAAGTTAAATGTCCAATCTTTAGTGTACTGATATGAATAGTATTTTACTGAAAATGTTTGAAAAAGATGTTGATGCTAACGTAAATATTTTGTTTAATAAAAAGACAGGAAATTTGTCGGTGAACCAAAAAGTTCAAATCTAATTGAAAGTTAAAGTGCCCATGAACTCACTGATCATGCACGAGTGAATCTATTCATAAAAAGTGTCCGTGTAACAACTAAAAAGAGTCCGTGTATCATCTAAAAAGAGTCCGTGTAACACCCGTTAATGTACTGTTTTTCTATAGCTCTGAGGGGGGCAAAGTCGTACAAGAGTGTTTAAAACTTTTCAAGGTAAACAATAGTTATCAATATACTGGACAATTGATCTATCAAATTGATTAGCACAAATATCATTTAAAAAAATTATTAATGATTTCAATACACATTTATCATGTTTATGTCAAATCTATCACAATTGAAAAAAGTTACGGTTAACCAGTAAGCTTTTTTGGTATTTGATTATAATTATTAAAACTTATGGTCACAGGGCTTCTTTTCAAGCTATATATATATATATAGGTTGTGCAAAATTGTCAGATTTTGTTTAGATTATGCATGGAAGCTCCTATTTTTGTGTGTTAAAAAGAAAACTAAACCATAGAATTTAAAGATAAGATATTAGAAGATAGCTCTTATCCGGCCATTGGAGTGATCTTACACTGACACACCACATCTTCATGGGATAACTATTACATACATGTACCAAGGGATAATTATCATAAATGCCTGACGCTTGCATATGCTACAGGTAAATCAATATTATCATGATTATGTAAATTGTAAACATTTTCAAGTGTTATCTCTTACTTCCACACATTCTTTAATAGATTGTATGTTTTTTTATATATTTGTATTTCTCATATTGTGTGGTGTTTCAGCTATTGCAGAAGAAATCAGCTCTAAGATTGTAGAGACCTACATCAGTATACCTGGGCTAGAGGTGAAGTGGAAGTTACCAGGGATAGGCACTGCTGAACTGAAGAATAATTGTTCAGTTACTCCTACATTTAACACAGAGTATGTAATAAAAAGATGGATTGATCTTAAATCTCATGTAATCTTTGAAAATTACACAAGTATGAAGTAACCTTGCTTTTACAACAGCCACATTTCCTAGTGCTCTCTCTTGTGACATAAAGGTTCAAAGACTACTGTCACATAGTATATGGGGTAATCTCAATGATGCATCAACCTAATAATACAACAAAACCAGAAAAGATGCCAACATGTAAACATATATGCCTCTAGCCTTTGTTAGTCTTGTATTATTTTTAATTTTAGTTTCTTGTGTACAATTTGGAGTTTAGTATGCATGGCGTTCATTATCACTGAACTAGTATATATATTTGTTTAGGGGCCAGCTGAAGGACGCCTCCGGGTGCGGGAATTTCTCGCTGCATTGAAGACCTGTTGGTGACCTTCTGCTGTTGTCTGTTCTATGGTCGGGTTGTTGTCTCTTTGACACATTCCCCATTTCCATTCTCAATTTTATACAATGTTCAACAGTAAACAAGAGTCTAAAACATATGAGCTGCATCTGATAAAATCAGCCTTACACAAGTGCACATATACATGTACATGTATAAGATGTTGGGAACATTCAAATGCGAAATTATTAAAAGAAGAAATTTGGTCTGTTTTGTAGGGTACTATATCCACTCAATTTTCAAACAGTAACAGACTTTGCATAGAGATTTTTCAACCCAATATAAGAGGGTAGGAATGCCCTTTACTGTCAGGCGTCAAACGGTCATTTTCGGCTACCGTTAGCGACAAATTGGTTAAAATTTTACTGTGATTTGTCAAAATATCCTTATCATGATTCGTCAGAGGTCTCAAATAATTATCATTACCGTTATTTTTGGAAAAAATTTAACATGATTTGTCAAAATCAGTTTATTTTTTTATCGTCTAAAAGAAAGTGTACATTTTATCATCATGCACCAAAAATTACCGTTAATGTCATTTGGCAAGAATTTTTACCGTTATTCGTCATGAAGGTACCCCCATTACGACCCTCATATAAGAATACAGATTTATTGATATTCATTTGCATCAGGTTGATTTCTATCTGACACAGATCATAATTTAAGCTTTAAATCACCAATAAATGAATTTAACAGAGACTTTCATAAATCTGACATCAACCCCAAAAACTACTAACATATAAACAAAAACAACCACTTAACTTGGAACAGGCACATGTGATGGTTTCTGGGTACTCAACCCTCCCCCTTTTCATCTTGATAAGGGAAATAATAAAAGGTATAGAGACGATAAACAAATTAAATGTAATACCCAGGTGAAAAAATGACTTTGGTTTGATTAACCAGGTCCTGCGATCATAAAATATCTGGCAGGATTATCTTTCTCAGACTCTGAACCAATCAAAATACTGAATTTGGTGTTTCAAATTCAAATTTTGTACTTCAAGTACTAAGTAATTTTTATGACCAAGGGCCAAGAGATCTAACTAATGAGCATGGTGTGTATTCTAACCATTTTACAGCAGGGGTTTTAAAACCTTGAAATAAGCATTTTATGTGTTTTTATTTTGAATCTTAAAAGGATTAGAAATCTTATATCAATTTAATGTGTAGAACTTAGATTTCATGACTGGACCTTATATCAATTTAATGTGTAGAACTTAGATTTCATGACTGGATAGCACATTTAAATTAGTATTAAGCTAAAGAAAAAAATGTCTCAGTTGAGATGTCCCTTAAAACTTGAGATGGAAATCTTGTTTAGATTGGCAGGAATGCATTATTTGTCAAACTGTAAAATGTAAGGTTACCTTTGATTTTATTTTTAATCTCATTTCATTCAAGCATGATTAAAATACTTAAAGACCAAATATGTAAAATTTTTACACAGTGTAATAGATGAAAAATCTATGTAAATGTCTTAGATGAGTGTAATTGAAACATAAGAAACAGCCCTTGTCTTATTGAAAAAAAATGCTATATATGAGATGGTGTATCTGTGATTTCAAGATATAATCCCCTTTATACTGTGCTCTAGTTGAAAGTTAACATGGTTAATGTGTGCTTCATTTTCAGATCTCTAGAAGTTGTTGCTATTGTAAAGAAGGATAATGGAGTGGAACATAAATATAAATACACAGTGCAAAAACTTCCAGGGGAGATAATTCCTTCAGAATGTTCAACCAAGGTATGAAAACAATAAGTACAAGTTTTTTTCTTGACCAGCTAAAGTACTTTATTGTTTTAAAATGAAACTACTTAATGGTAATAAACCCTGGTTTGCCTTCATTTTCAAAGACCCATAAGCTTGTTTTTTTTATTATGCCCCCGCCATAGCGGAGGGGGCATTAAGTTTTACCCTTGTCCGTATGTACGTCCGTACGTTCCAAAATTGGTTGCCGTTCTCTAACTTTAGTTTGCCTCAACCAAATGTTATGAAACTTATCCACAATGTTTATTACAACAAAACACAGATCAAGTTTGAATTTTGGTGGCGTCACTTTTACCGTTCTACAGTTAATTATATATAAGCCCCTTTACAAATGAAAAAATTGCTGATTTTTTTGTTTCCATTCTCTAACTTGAGTTTGCCTCAACCAAATGTTATGAAACTTATCCACAATGTTTATTACCACAAAACACAGATCAAGTTTGAATTTTGGTGGTGTCACTTTCACCGTTCTAAAGTTATGCCCCTTTACAAATGGAAAAATTGCTATTAGTTTTTATACAACCGCAAAAATTAAAAATTTTTTGGTCGTATATTGGTATGACGTTGGCGTCGTCGTCGTTGTCATCGTCGTCGTCGTCCGAAGACACATTGGTTTTCGCACTCTAACTTTAGTTTAAGTGAATGGATCTCCATGAAATTTTACCATAAGGTTCAATACCACAAAAGGAAGGTTGGGATTGATTTTGGGGATTATGGTACCAACAGTTAAGGAATTAGGGGCCAAAAATAAGCATTTTTGTAACTTCCAGACATAACTTGTGTGTTAGTGTATGGATCTCTCTGACATTGTACCACAAGGTTCCATATCACAAAGGGAATGCTGGGATTGATTTTGGGGGTAATTACCTCAAAATTTTAGAATTAGGGGCCAAAAAAAAGGGGCAAAAATCAAGCATTTTTCTAGTTTCATGATAATAACTTGTGTGTAAGTGTATGGATCTTTATGAAATTGAACTACACGGTTCCATATCACAAAGGGAAAGCTGGAATTGAGTTTGGGGGTGCATTTTTCTAGTTTCCAGACAATTACTTGTGTTCAAGTGTATGGATCTTTCTGAAATTGAACTACACGGTTCCATATCACAAAGGGAAAGCTGGAATTGAGTTTGGGGGTGCATTTTTCTAGTTTCCAGACAATTACTTGTGTTCAAGTGTATGGATCTCTCTGAAATTGTACTGCAAGGTACCATACCACATAGAGAAGGCTGGGGTTGATTTTGGGGGTAATTGCCTCAAAATGTTAGGAATTAGGGGCCAAAAAGGGGAAAAAAACAAGCATTTTTCTAGTTTCAGGACAATAACTTGTGTGTAAGTGTATGGATCTTTATGAAATTGTACTGCAAGTTTCCATATCACAAAGGGAAAGCTGGGTTTGAGTTTGGGGGTAATTGCCCTAAACGTTTAGGAATTTGGGGCCAGAAAGGGGCCAAAAAAACAAGCATTTTTCTAGTTTCCAGACAATAACTTGTGTTAAAGTGTATGGATCTCTCTGAAATTGTACTGCAAGGTACCATACCACAAAGGGAAGGCTGGGATTGAGTTTGGGGGTGATGAATCATAAGGGGGTTCAAAAAATTTGGGGGAAGGGGATTTTTTTTTTTTTTTTTTCTTTAAAATTTTCCATTTAAAATTGGTTATTTCTGATTTATATATAAAAGCAAATAATAATGATATGGTTTGAATAGGTGAATTAAAAAATTTTAAGTTCTTAGACCACATTCATTCTGTGTCAGAAACCTATGCTGTGTCAAATATTTAATTACAATCCAAATTCAGTGCTGTATCAAGCTTGCATGTTGTGTCCATACTTGCCCCAACTGTTCAGGGTTCGACCTCTGCGGTCGTATCAAGCTGCGCCCCAGCGGAGCATTTTATTGTGTTTTGGTCTGTTTTTCTCATACTGTATGCAATAGGTCTACTATATTTGGTGTATGGAATGATTGTAAGGTTTACATGTCTAGCTGGCAGGTGTCATCTGACCTTGACCTCATTTTCATGGTTCAGTGGTTATAGTTAAGTTTTTGTGTTTTGGTCCTTTTTTCTTGGTGGTCAAGTCCATATCTCAGATACTATAAGCAATAGGTCTAGTATATTCGGTGTATGGAAGGACTGTAAGGTGTACATGTCCAACTGGCAGGTGTCATCTGACTTTGACCTCATTTTCATGGTTCAGTGGTCAAAGTTAAGTTTTTGAGTTTTGGTCTTTTTTCTTATACATTGTACTATATGCAATAAGTCAACTATATTTGGTGTATGGAAATATTCTATGATGTACATGTTAGTCTCGCAGGTTTTATTTGACCTTGACCTCATTTTCACAGTTCATTGCTCAGTGTTAAGTTTATGTGTTTCAGTCTGTTTTTCTTAAACTATAAGCTATAGGTCAGCTATATTTGTTGTATGGAAGGATTGTAAGCTGTTCATGTCTGTCTGGCATGGTTCATCTGACCTTGACCTCATTTTCACGATTCATTGGTCAATGTTTATTTTTCTTGGTTAAGTATGTTTCTTAGAAACTATAAGCAATAGGTCAACTATATTTAGTGTATTGAATGATTGTAAGGTGTACATGCATTTCTCATTTGGTTTATATGACCTTGACTTCTTTTTCTTGGATCATGTTAAGTTTATGTAATAGTTGTAGTAAAGCTTTCATTTAGGACTATCAACATAATATCAATGGTTAGTAAAGAAGGCGAGACATTTCAGCGTGTGCACTCTTGTTAATATTCAATATCTGATTCAAAATAACAGGCCATCTATGGAATATTTTTATACAGAAAGATCAAAGGAAATTTTGAAAAAATAGTGATAAACTTAATTAATTACTGGAATCTTGATGATCATGATGATGATAACTGTTAAATGTCCTACACAAGATCTTAATCCTCTAGTTCTGACAGTCCTGAAGGACATACATTTTTTTCATGAATTTCTCTTGCTACATGTACTATGAATGATGAATTTGAGAAGGTTTCTCTCAATTATCTTAGTCAAAGGTTTACAAAGTTTTTTATGAGTAGCATTTGGCTCATCCAAAAACTGTATATCTAAATGTAAGACTAAAATCATTGTAGATATTACTACATTTTGTACTTGTATTGGTTATTTTCTATATTTCACAAACGTGTTTCAGTTTAAGGATGGCCAAATTACAATAGTACTAAAGAAAGCCAACCAGTCATCTTGGGAAGTTCCATTGCAACGAGGACTTGAACAGGCCAAGTGATAAAAAACAAATTACTTTCAAGGGAGATAATCAATAGAGAATTTTTCTTCTTATCTCCCTCTACAGTATTTAGTAGAAAAGATGTAAAAGCAGCAAGGATTATGAAAGAAGACTAGATCAGAAGACTCTCAAAGAAACATGTAGATTTTAATATATACTTTAAATTAACTAATATATCTTTGTATACCTGTACTAATTGATTAACTATTTACTGTGGATAAATAATGCACCTTCCACCAAAATAATATAATTAGATATAAGTTAAAACATAGCTGCAACTTACTGTATATGGTTAAGTTGTGAAACCGTTTCTAGCACTCATGCTGACTACAAAAAAATCTGTCTACCAGACTGAGAAAACCCATATCACGCTAGAAGCGTGCTATGGAATATTTTTATACAGAAAGATCAAAGGAAATTTTGAAAAAATTGTGATAAACTTAATTAATTACTGGAATCTTGATGATCATGATGATGATAACTGTTAAATGTCCTAGACAAAATCTTAATCCTCTAGTTCTGACAGTCCTGAAGGACATACAAGTTATTTTATTTGGTTACAGTTGCTGCTGAAACTGCTTACTGTTACAAGGGCATATTCAGATGGTCCACCTTTTTATCAGCAAATACTGTAAATTCAGAAATTATTGCGATGTTTTTATTATTGCGAAAAATGCAATAGGGTTGTAATCACAATAATTTAAACTGGCATTTTGGATTTTTTTTATATGAATGAAACGGAATTTTTCTCAGTATCACAAAAATAATAATCGCATTTTGGTCTAAAATGATAAAATCGCAATAATTTCTGAATTTACAGTATACCTTTCTTTGGCATAAAGTTGAGGAAAAATATTCTCCTCCCTACACTCCCCACTTTGCCACTATTTATAACATAACAAGAGTGTTATGTGATGATGTAATATATTTTGTCATTGTTATACTTTTGTAAGGCATGCAGATCGTTAAGCTGTGTTTTATTTGTTAACTTTGACCTACTGAAGATTTGTTAACAGCTTTTTACACTAGAATCTATACACACCAATGTATAATAGAATTTTCAAAATAAATGTTTTATTTACAATGTATGACCTTATAAAAGTGCAAAAGTTTGTAGAGTTTACATTTAATGAAGTTTTCAGTATTCTTATTCTATTCTGTTCGAATAAGCCATTGAAGGAATTGAGTGACATTGAATGAAATGTGTTACTGCAAGTGGCTTCTCGATAAACATGATTTAAATACCTTGAGCTTCATCTGCAATGCACAATGTTAAGAATTCATAATTTTTATACGACCGCAAAAATTGAAAATTTTTTGGTCGTATATTGGTATGACGTTGGCGTCGTCGTCGTCGTCCAGCGTCGTCCGAAGACACATTGGTTTTCGCACTCTAACTCTAGTTTAAGTGAATGGATCTCCATGAAATTTTACCATAAGGTTCAATACCACGAAAGGAAGGTTGGGATTGATTTTGGGGGTTATGGTACCAACAGTTAAGGAATTAGGGGCCAAAAAGGGGCCAAAAATAAGCATTTTTGTAACTTCCAGACAATAACTTGTGTGTAAGTGTATGGATCTCTCTGACATTGTACCACAAGGTTCCATATCACAAAGGGAAGGCTGTAATTGATTTTGGGGGTAATTGCCTCAAAATTTTAGGAATTAGGGGCCAAAAAAGGGGCAAAAAACAAGCATTTTTCTAGTTTCATGACAATAACTTGTGTGTAAGTGTTTGGATATTTCTGAAATTGTACTACAAGGTTCCATATCACAAAGGGAAAGCTGGAATTGAGTTTGTGGGTAATTGCTCGAAACGTTTAAGAATTGGGGGCCAAAAAGGGGCCAAAAAGGGGCCAAAAATAAGCATTTTTCTAGTTTCCAGACAATAACTTGTGTTCAAGTGTATGGATCTCTCTGAAATTGTACTGCAAGGTACCATACCAAAAAGGGAAGGCTGGGATTGAGTTTAGGGGTGATGAATCAAAAGGGGGTTCAAAAAATTTGGGGGGGGGATTTTTTTTTTTTATTTTTTTTATTTTTTTTCATTTTTTTTTTCTTTAAAATTTTCCATTTTAAGTTGGTTATTTCTGATTAATATATTTAAAAGCAAATAATAATGATATGGTAGGAGATACACACCAAACAGGATGTGTAAATTATTATATAATAAGTATTGTGCAATAGCAAGAAATTTTCAATTGCACAGTATTGCACAATAGCAAGAAATCTTCAATTGCACAGTATTGCGCAATAGCAAGAAATCTTCAATTGCACAGTATTGCGCAATAGCAAGAAATATCCAATAGCACAATATTGCGCAATAGCAAGAAATTGTCAATTGTACAGTATTGCACAATAGCAAGAAATATTCAATTGCACAGTATTGTGCAAAAGAAGATACTTCATATAAATTGCTAATTTCTTGATCAATTTCAATGGGGTTTTATTCTTGAATTCTTGCGGTTCTTTAATATGCTGAATCTAACAGTGTATTAAGTTTTTGGATTTTGGGCCCCGTTTTTAAATTGGTCCACATTGAGGTCCAAAGGGTCCAAAATTTAACTTTGTTTGATTTCATCAAAAATTTAATTATTCGGGTTCTTTGATATGCCAAATCTAACCGTGTATTTAGATTCTTAATTTTTGGTTCCGTTTTCAAATTGGTCTACATTAAGGTCAAAAGGGTCCAAAATTAAACTTAGTTTGATTTTAACAAAAATTGAATTCTTGGGGTTCTTTGATATGCTGAATTTAAACATGTGTTTAGATTTTTGATTATAGGACCAGTTTTCAAGTTGGTCCAAGTTGGGGTCCAAAATTAAACTTTGTTTGATTTCAACAAAAATTGAATATATGGGGTTCTTTGATATGCTGAATCTAAACATGTATTTAGATTTTAGATTTTTGGCCCAGTTTTCAAGTTGGTCCAAATTGGGGTCCAAAATTAAACTTTGTTTGATTTCAACAAAAATTGAATATATGGGGTTCTTTGATATGCTGAATCTTACCATGTATTTAGATTTTTTATTTGTGGGCCCGCTATCAAATTGGTTCATATTGAGGTCAAAAGGGTCCAAAATTAAACTTAGTTTGATTTCATCAAAAATTGAATTATTGGGGTTCTTTGATATGCCAAATCTAACCGTGTTTTTAGATTTTTAATTTTGTGTCCTGTTTTTTAAATTGGTCTACATTAAGGTCCAAAGGGTCCAAAATTAAACTTAGTTTGATTTTAACAAAAATTGAATTCTTGGGGTACTTTGATATGCTGAATCTAAACATGTGTTTAGATTTTTGATTATGGGACCAGTTTTCAAGTTTGTCCAAGTTGGGGTCCAAAATTAAACTTTGTTCGATTTCAACAAAAATTGAATATATGGGGTTCTTTGATATGCTGAATCTAACCATGTATTTTGATTTTGGACATTGGACCATAATAGGTAAATTAAAAAAATTGAAGTTCTTAGACCACATTCTTTCTGTGTCAGAAACCTAGCTATGCTGTGTCAAATATTTATTAATAATTATTAGTTATTGGATCATTATTGTGTTCTGGTAGTAGTTTTTTTTTTATTGATAACTTCTTTTTTTATGTATTTTATTTTTTGTTTGTTTCAGTTGTCTGATTTATTTTGTGCTACATTTTATGTACAGTCTTCATTATCAAAAATAAATGTCAAAGTCAAACCTACTTTTTTTTTTATTCTTCAAGCCATGACTGGTCTCAAAATTTTAAAAAGAAATCACCAAAAAGTTGCAATTAGAAATTTATCGCAGATAGACCCCCCCAAAAAAAATGTATAATATGTGTAAACAAACATAGATGCTTAACCAAAATATAATAAAGGTTACAATAGTAAAATCATTTGCAAAACCACTCATAAATTGTACTTAGCATGAAACTTAACCCAAGTGGCAACATGAAATGCAGTGAAAGTTAATTCTGATACTGGGGATTGATTATTATTCATTGGATACCAATTTTCATTGATTTGGTCGGTACAGGAGAACCACAAATTTAAATGTTCAACGAATCACAAATCTTCTACAGGAATATATGCCAACTTTGGCAAAACCATGAAATCAATTATCCACGAAAATTGGTACCCATGAAAATAAATGAAATTACAGTACATTTTTAATAAAAAAATCATCAAAGTCACCAGGCTTACAATTTGGTAGGCAAGATGTGCATTTTGTGTTTATAATCTCATCAGTGGCGCTTGAATCCAAACAGTTGTAAGGTTAAATTATATAAGAAGTAGCATTGAAAACCAAAATTAAAAAAAAACTGTTCCAAACAGGCTAAGGCTATCTATGTCTGAGGTAAATATTGTGTTGTCTTATATTTAAGTGAAAGATATGTTGAAAACACTTTATGAAACACCTTATTTTTTCTTAGAAAAAAAAACAAGAAAAGACAAACTCTCTAATCATGCAATAGTGAGTTGCAACTCAAAACAGACAATCCAAAGTCATAGAAAACTCAAAACAGACAATAAAGTAGTAGAAAACTCAAACACGGACAATATGAAAACTCAAAACATGCAATACAAAGTCGTAGAAAAATCAAGGCAGACAATACACAGTCATAGAAAAAAACTCAAAACAGACAATACAAATTGATAGAAAACTCAAAACTGACTATACAAAGTCATATTCAACTCCAAAGGAACAATACAAAGTCAGGAAACTCAACACAGACAATTCTAAGTCATATATAACTAAAAAAAAAACAATACTTAGTCATAGAAAACTTCAAAGAGACAATACAAAGTCACAGACAGCTATTGACAGACAATGCAAAGTCAAAGATAACTCAAGATAGACAATTCAAAGTCACAGACAACTCAAAACAGACAACTCCAGACACCACAAAGTCATAGAAAACTGAAAAGAGACAACACAAAATCATAGACAACTCAACACAGATAATACAAGGAAAACTCAAAACAGACTACACAAAGTCATGAGACAACTCAAAAGAGACAATATAAAGCCATACCCAACTCATGACGGACAATACAAAGTCAAAGATAACTCAAGACAGACAATTCAAAGTCACAGACAACTCAAGACAGACCACACAAAGTCAAAGACAACACCAAACAGACACCACAAAGTCATTGACAACTCATGACAGATAATTCAAAATCACAGACAACTCAAAACAGACAATGCAAAGTCCTGGACAACTCCAAACAGACACAATAAAGTCATAGAAAACTCAATACAAGCTATACAAAGTTATAGAAAACTCAAAACAGACACCACAAAGTCATAGACAACTCAATACAGATAATAAAAGGTCAAAGTAAACTAAAAAATTACAATACAAAGTCATATAAAACTCAAAACAGACAGTTCAAAGTTACAGACAACTTTAAGACGGACAATTCAAAGTCATATATAACTCAATACAGACAATTCAAAGTCATAGAAAACTCAATTCAGATAATTTTAGTCAAAGAAAACTAAAATAAAATACAATACAAAGTCATATATAACTCAATACAGACAATAAAAAGTCATAGACAACTAATTCAAAACAGACAATACACAGTCATTGACCACTTTGAATGGACAATACAAAGTCACTGACCACTCACAACAGACAATACAAAGTCACTGACCACTCACAACAGACAATACAAAATCACTGACCACTCACAACAGACAATACAAAGTCACTGACCACTCACAACAGACAAAGTTATAGAAAATCAAAACAGGCAGTACAATGTCAACTCGAAACAGACAATTCAAAGTCATAGACAACTCAAAACATACAATTAATACAAAGTCAGAAAACTCAAAATAGACGATTCAAATTCAAAAAGATTTTCAGACAAACAATACAAAATCATAGACAATTCAATACAGACAATAAAAAGTCTTAGAGAATTCAAAACAGACACCACAAAGTCATAGAAACAAAAAAAACTGACAATCAAAACAGACAATACAAAGTCAAAAAACTCAAATAGACGATTCAAATTCAATGAAATATTCAGACAAACTATACAAAATCATAGACAATTCAATACAGACAATAAAAAGTCTTAGAGAATTCAAAACGGACAATACAAAGTCATAGAAAACTCAAAACAGTCAATACAAAGTCATAGGAAACTCAAAACAAATAATAAAGTCAAAGAAAACTTAGTTGGACAATACAAAGTCATAGAAAACTAAAAACAGACAATACACGGTCATAGACAAATTAATACAGACAATAAAAATTCATAGACAATTCAAAACAGATAATACAAAGTCACAGATAATTCAAAATGGACAACACAAAGTCATAGAAACTCAAAACAGACAATACATAGTCTTATAGATAAGTCACTTCAAAGCAGACAATTGTCATAGAAAACTCCCAAAAAAAGACAAAACCAAGTAATAGAAAACTAAAACATACAATACAAAATCATAAACAAGAAACTCAGTCATAAAAAACTCAAATAAAAGAATAATGTGTCCTTGGGACACAGAAGCCCAAGCTTGTAAATATTCAAAAGTCAAAGTACTAATTCAAACTTTTGAGCGTGGAAATGAAACGTTTGGTCAGTACATTCAACAGTAAGAGTGAGAACAAAAGAAAGTTTTCCAGTGGAAAGAGGCATAGTAGTCTGTTGTTATTTATGTATTATTGTCATTTTGTTTATTTTCTTTTGTTTCCTATTCTGACAT